TCTCGGGGATTCCGCCCCCCCTCAATTTCGCAGCCCTTCTCTCTCGGCCTCTGTCGGGGGGGATTCCGCCTCCTGCCGTCGCAGCCCTTCTCTCCCGGCCGGGAGCCCCCCCTCCTGTCGCGGCCCCTCTCTCTCGGCCTCTCGGGGGGCAATTCCGCCGTCTGTCGCAGCCCTTCTCTCTCGCGGCCTCCCTTTCTCACTGTACCAACTTCCTCGGGGAAAGACGGGAGCCGGGACGGAGCCACACAGACTCGTCCCGGCTAGGCGGCACTTGCTCTGCCCTGCCGACCGCACGAGCGCGGCCGCTCCACACCGCCTTACACGCAGGCACGGGGTGAAACCAACCTGCGGGGATGCGGCCCGTCACCTCGCTCCCATAATACGGACAGATGAGTCCAAAGCCGCCCAGGCCTCCAAGAGAACCAATGGAGCTCGACCGGGGAGGGGCGCCACCGCAGGCCGCCTCTTACGATGACGCAGCCGGAGGCGGCCGACAACAGCGACCCCTTGGTGAACTTCCGCAGCCGGCCGCGACAACAGGTCTACCCGGCACCCGCCGAAATTTGACTAAGTCCGGCCGGAGCGAGGTAGACCTGGTGTCCCCGGCCGGCGCCCGCCACCCGGGGGCAAGGACGACCCACGGCGGCCCCGGGGTCGGGGTAGACCTGGTGTCCCCGGCCGGAGCCGGGGTAGACCTGGTGTCCCCGGCCGGCCACGGGGGAGACCAGGTGTCCCCGGCCGGAGCCGGGGTAGACCTGGTGTCCCCGGCCGGAGCCGGGGGAGACCTGGTGTCCCCGGCCGGCCACGGGGGAGACCAGGTGTCCCCGGCCGGAGCCGGGGTAGACCTGGTGTCCCCGGCCGGAGCCGGGGGAGACCTGGTGTCCCCGGCCGGCCACGGGGGAGACCTGGTGTCCCCGGCCGGCCACGGGGGAGACCTGGTGTCCCCGGCCGGAGCCGGGGTAGACCTGATGTCCCGCCGGATCCGGGGTAGACCTGGTGTCCACGGCCGGAGCCGGGGTAGACCTGGTGTCCACGGCCGGACTTTGCTTTCTGCAGCCCAGTGCTCGGCGTAGACCTGACATCCCGGGTCCCGGGGTAGACCTTGTGTCCTGGGCTTCGGGGTAGACCTGGCGTCCCCTGGCTGAGGGTAGACCTGGTGTCTTTGCCGGACTTTGCTTTCTGCCGCCCACGGCTAAGGGTAGGACTTAGGGTTTCCCTGGGCCCAGGGGTAGACCTGGTGTCCTGGGCTTCGGGGTAGACCTGGTGTCCCAGGACCCGGGGTAGACCTGGTGTCCCCGGCCGGAGCCGGGGTAGACCTGGTGTCCCTTCACAGCCGCCCTCCTTCCGAGCGCCACGGCGAGCCGCGGCGGCGCCGGAGCCGGCTTGACCTGATGAGCCAGGACCGGCCCGGACCCGGGGTAGACCTCCCATCCCCCTGTCGTCGCCCGCCGCCCGGGTGCCTCACCGTCCCCATCGATCCCGGAGCCGGGCTAAGCTCACAGCCTCATAACACCCTGGAGCCAGACGGCTCCATCAGCCCCGTCCCGCACAATGAACCCCACCCCCCTTTCAAGATCCATAGATATTTTCGGGTTTTTTTTTGTTGGTCTTTTGGGATTTTGTGTTTTTGTTTTTTGTTTTGGTTTTTTTGGGGTTTTTTTGTTTTTTTTTTTTTTTTGTTTTTTTTTTTTTTTTTCTTTCTTTTTTTTTTTTTGGTGGGGTGTTTTGTTTTGTTTTTTTGGGGTTTTTTCTTTTTGGTTTTTTTGTTTTTTTTTTTTCTCTTTCTTTCTTTCTTTTTTTCTTTTTTTTTTTTTTTTTTTTTTTGTTTCGGCTCTGTTTGATGCTGAGTTTTGAGGCTGGTTTTTTTTGGGGGGGTCGGTGGTCTTGTGGTTTGGATTTGGGTAGAACGGCTCCTCTATTCGCTTGGAACGAGAAACTCATCCGGGAAAACAAACCAACAATAAAAATGGGCACATTTTATTTCTTTTCCTTTTGTATCCAGAGCACTCCCAGCCGAGCCGACGGGCAGCCCGTGCCCCGTGGTCTGCCTGCTGACACGCTGAACTGGCGAAACAGCGCCCCCACCGCCCCGCGCCCCCGCCCTGCCGCCCCCCCCCACGCCCTCCTGAGACCCTATACAGCCCGGCCCCCCTGGCCCCGATGCGGCGCGGCTCGCCCCGCCCCGCCCCGCCCCGCCCACCGGTAGAGGCGGCTGCCGCCGGCACCACCGCCAGCACGCAGGCGGCCACTTTCGGGCGGGCTCTTTCACGGTCCGCAGAGGTCTTCCGCCCTCGACGTGAGTCTAGGGGGCCGTGGGGGCTCGGTGCCGAGGCGCCCGGGGCCGGCACGAAGCCGCCGGCCCTTGGCCCTCGTCCGCACACAGACACAGATACAGCGCCACACCCACCGACCCCCCGCCAGTGCGCACGCTCACTCCCCAAGGTCATCCCTTCAGGCCACCTCACCGCCGCGCGTGCACACGCACGCGCGGACAACCATCCCCGCCCCCTCGCCGCCCCCCGCCACGCCTCCTGCCCCCGCCTCCCCGCCAGGGCCCGCCCGCCCGCCTGGCTGCCGGTCCGCGTGCACGCTCTCGCGTGCCCTCTCTCCCTGTCGCTGGCCCCGTCCCCGTCCCCGTCCCCGCGCCCGCCCCTGCCCCTGCCCCTGCCCCTGCCCCTGCCCTTGCCGTCTCTGTCGGAGCCGCGCACGCCCATCGGCGGTTGGGGGCGCCCCACCCTCTCGCATCAGCCTCCCCGGCGCCCCGCCCTCCCCCACCAGCCTCCCCGGCGCTGTCTGCATACTTTTCCCGCTTGCTAGGCACCGGTAGAGGAAGGCCGGCTAGGGACCACAGGTCTAGCCACGGGCTGGGCGGGCGTGGGCTAAGGCCGGCGGGGACCACAGGTCTAGCAAATGGGGCCAGGTGGCCGTAGGCCAAGGCCGGCCGGCGACACCAGGTCTACCCCGAGCCCTGGGACACCAGGTCTACCCCGGAGTCCGGGAGACCAGGTCTACCCCGTGGGCCTGGGACACCAGGTCTACCCGGTGGCCCGCGACACCGGGTCTACCACGTGGCCCTGGGACACCAGCTCTACCCCGAGGCCTGGGACACCAGATCTACCCCGAGCCCTGGGACACCAGGTCTACCCCGGAGTCCGGGAGACCAGGTCTACCCCGTGGCCCTGGGACACCGGGTCTACCCGGTGGCCCGCGACAACGGGCCTACCACGTGGCCCTGGGACACCAGGTCTACCCCGAGGCCTGGGACACCAGATCTACCCCGCGGCCCTGGGACACCAGGTCTACCCTCAGCCAGGGGACATCAGGTCTACCCCGTGGCCCTGGGACACCAGGTCTACCCCGCGGCCCGGGACACCAGGTCTACCCCGGGGTCCGGGACACCAGGTCTACCCCGTGGCCCTGGGACACCAGGTCTACCCTCAGCCAGGGGACATCAGGTCTACCCCGTGGCCCTGGGACACCAGGTCTACCCCGCGGCCCGGGACACCAGGTCTACCCCGAGGCCCTGGGACACCAGGTCTACCCTCAGCCAGGGGACATCAGGTCTACCCCGTGGCCCTGGGACACCAGGTCTACCCCGCGGCCCGGGACACCAGGTCTACCCCGTGGCCCGCGACACCAGGTCTACCCCGAGCCCTGGGACACCAGGTCTACCCCGTGGCCCTGGGACACCAGGTCTACCCCGTGGCCCTGGGACAGCAGGCCTACCCCGAGCCCTGGGCTGCGGAAGGCAAAGTCCGCCCGGGACAGCAGGTCTACCCCGGCGACCCCAGGTCTATCCTGGGCCCAGGCGGCTGTGGGCAGAGGCCAGCCGGGGAAACCAGGTCTACCCCGGAGTCCGGGACACCAGGTCTACCCCGGAGTCCGGGACACCAGGTCTACCCCGTGGCCCTGGGACACCGGGTCTACCCGGTGGCCCGCGACAACGGGCCTACCACGTGGCCCTGGGACACCAGGTCTACCCCGTGGCCCTGGGACACCAGGTCTACCCCGTGGCCCGGGACACCAGGTCTGCCCCGTGGCCCTGGGACAGCAGGCCTACCCCGAGCCCTGGGCTGCGGAAGGCAAAGTCCGCCCGGGACAGCAGGTCTACCCCGGCGCCGGCGACCCCAGGTCTATCCTGGGCCCAGGCGGCTGCGGGCAGAGGCCAGCCGGGGAAACCAGGTCTACCCCGAGCCCTGGGCCGCCGTAGCCCAAGTCCGGCCGGGGACACCAG